CACTCTGTCTTTTAATGCTTTTGACAGTCCCCTCCTGGAAAGCTGATTCAGCCTCAGCCTGGCAAAACCAAGACCAACCTCTGTGCCAACGCCTCAGGGAACTGCCAGGTTGGTTAAAACACTCCAGCACCATGTATGAGAACGAAGTCTGCGTTGACCCCTGGTCCAGCAAGGCCCGCCAGGGCCTCGGGCTGCGGATTCCCCGCCGGCTGTGCACGGGCCCCGGGGACGGCAGGCGGGGCGGGCAGGCACCACGGCCCTTCCTTACCCAGACGTGACTCTGTGTGGCTTTCGGGAAGCACCCCCTGGTTGCTGTGAGCTCCTGACTGGATCCTAGAGATCCAAAAGAAGTTAGTTCTGTCAGGTTTTCCTTACTGGTTGCTTCAGCGGAAAGACTGACCCCTTGAACGCTCTACATGGCCATTTTCTGTTGCTGTCTCTTCCTCTGCTTTTTTAGGACTTTTTTTTATTAGTTAGTTGTTTTGTTTCCAGTTACTTCCTATCACAAATAGCGCTGTTAAAAACATCTGCAGAGAAGTTGCACATTTTCCCCGCGGGGATGATTTCCGTGGAAGTTACAGCCAGATGAGGAAATTCAGGCCAAAGTAGAGAACGCTGTCCAGCTCCCGTTACACATCGCCCTTCGCTCCAGGAGGGCTGGCCTGACTGCAGTCCCCCCATGGCCCCTGTCTTTGTTTTTCTCTTCAATCTGTTGGCAACTGCCTCACTTTCGACTTTTCTCATACCCACTCTTTATTAACTGTCTAGTACAGTTTATCTACCATTTCTTAATGCATCTCCCCAAAGTGAGTATTTTCAGTTTCTTAGTGAAGAAACTTGGCAAGTTCAAGTCACTTGAGGTCACAGCCAAAACGCAGATGAGGGTCACCGGCCGGAATGTTCCTACAGTTTCCAAGAGCCCTGTGGCCCTCACACTGGGTGAGGAATGTTTCGGGAATGAAAAACTACAGAGATCCGAATTAAAATCCAGAGGGAAGAGCCTGGATGATGGTGGCGGTGGTGGTGTAGTGTTTCAATGTCCCCAAACTCCTACAGAAAAACTGTTCAACCAGGATAGCACACCACAGCCTCACGGACTGAATCTGCAACAAAACCAGGTGCAAGAAGACTGTCATGAAGGTGTGGGAACTCAAGAGGGGGCGGGATACCCATGAGCCTTTTCTGGGGGACCTATCAGAACCTGTTTGGAGGATTAAAACGGCCCCGAATCTTTTAAAAATCCCTCCCGCCGAGGGGTTATGTGATCCTCCCTGGAATTCAAGTGGACCCTAAGACTGCTTTGACCCCTGGAGTACCACAGAATGATGTTCATGTGCCAGTCCCTGGGCTCAGGTCTTAAGAACCTGGAGCTTCCACTTTCTGTGTCTTGGGACACTCCCCTGGGGAGAGATGGCTGCCTGTGTCACCTGTCAGACTATTGTTAGGTACGTGGAGAAGTAGCCATGTGAAGAGGCCTCACGGAGTGAGGTCAAGGACGGAGCAGCCCGGGCGGCTTTAGCCATCCCTGCCCAGGGACCAGACCGGGGCTGGGGAGAGCAGTGTTTGGAGAATCCCAGCCCCGGGACCATCTGACACACCTGCACGAGCCGTCCTGCCAGCGACCGCCGAGCGGGGTCCAGCCAACACAGGCCGTGACATGTGAAATTTGTTGTTTCAGGACTCTGAATTTTGCGAAAGGCTGCTACGTGGCAATAGGTGCCCAGATCCGCCTTGCTACAGGGGTGTGGTCCCGGCGCCGGCAGGTCAGCATCACCTGGAGAGCACAGTAGACCCTCAGAACCAGAATCTGCAGCTCCAGCTCCGGTCCCCGGACACGTCAGTCTGCGCAGCCCTGGCGCGCCCCTGCGTGGCACTGGGAGCGTGAGCCCGAGTGCATCCACTCTGGGCCTCTGCTTATTTTATTTTATTTATTGAAGTATAGTCAGTTTATAATGTTGTGTCAGTTTCTGATGTGCAGCATAATAGTTCAGGCATCCATATACATACATATATTCCTTTTCATATTCTTTTCATTGCAGGTTATTATAAGATATTGAATATAGTTCCCTGTGCTGTACAGTGTAAACTTGTTGTCTACTTTATATGTATTAGTTAGTATCTGCAAATCTCAAACTCCCAATATATCCCAACCCCCCCGCCGGGAACCAGAAGTGTGTTTTCCATGTCTGTGAGTCTGTTTCTGTTTTGTAAATATTAGTTCATTTGTATCATATTTTAGATTCCACATGAGTGATATCATATGGTACTTGTCTTTCTCTTTCTGGCTTACTTCACTTGGAATGACAAGCTCCAGGTCCACCCATATTGCTGCAAATGGCATTATTTTAGTCTTTTTTATGGCTGAGTAGTATTCCATTGTAGAAATACATCATAACTTCTTTATGCAGTCATCTGTTGGCAGACATTTGGGTTGTTTGCATGTCTTGGCTGTTGTAAAGAGAGCTGCTGTGAACATTGGGGCACGTGTGTCTTTCCAAAGTAAAATTCCCTCTGGATGTATGTCTGGGCATCTGCTTTTGTCTGCACCCAAATACATTCCTATTGCTACCCACAATATGGTAGGGGCTTCTTTTTTGTTTTGGGGTTCTTCATTTGAAAAATTGAGAAACGATCTGCATACTGTAAAACTCGCTAGTGTAAAGTGTAAAGTACAGCGTTTTGTTTTGTTTTGTTTAGTATATTTACAAGGTTGTGCAACTCTCACCACTATCCAATTTCAGAATGTTTCATCATTCCCAAAAGGAGTTAGTAGTCACTCTGTTCCTCGCTCCCCCAGCCCCAACCCTGGCCTCTGGCAACCACCAAACTACTTTCTGTCTCTGTGGATTTGCCTGTTCTGGACGTTTCTCATAAATAAAATCACACAGTATGTTGCCTTTTGTTGCCCCGAGTCTTTCACTTAACATCGTGTTTTCAAGATGAATGTTCACGTCAATGGTTTACTAAACCTCGCTCCTAAACAGCTCCATTCGTCCCTTGCCTCATGCCAATATTGCCACAAAGTACATTTTTATACATCATGCACCCCTCCACATACATTCCTAACTATTGCTTTACGCAGCTGTCTTTTAAGTCAGATAAGAAAAAGAGGAGGAGTTACAAAGCAAAAATGCAACAACACTGGCTTCGCTATTTACCCATGTCGTTACTAGGACGCAGAGCGATGCAGAGATGGGTGGGGAATGACTGGGTCACTGCAGGAGGGGAGCACGGCCAGCAGTGAAAGCTGTACCCAGGATGATGCAAGACTGTGGTCCATGGCGGCGGAAACATCTTCTTGCCCTGGACTCAATGAGGAAGGCTGTTGCCCTGGTTACCACTGGCCATCAGGGAGGAAGCTGACACCTGAGGCGGGGGGCAGAGCTTGATCACACCACTCCTGAACTCCTGCGACAGCCTCACTTGGGCCAGGAAATCCCCTTTCCGGTAAGGATCTCTGCTGCCTGAGCCTGACAGGACCCTGCCTGCAACTTCTCTGTCCTTAGTCTCCTCACAGCACCAAGCCTTTGCGCGGGACTTCTCCCCGCGCTGGAGGCTCGTCCCCCGTGCCCGTCTGGTGCAAGCCTGGTTTCCCTCCAGTATCCTTCTCAGTGATCCTTTCCTGACCTCCCAGCACAGACAAAGGTTCCACAACACTCTGCAGTTGTGATCAGTTCTCGGTGTACTGGGTGGGTGTCCATCACTGGACTGGGGGCTCCTATGGGGAAGGGGTGGGTCCAATTCCACTAGAGACCCTCAACCCCCAGCCCGGAGCTCAGTGTCTACTTCTGCACTGATTTATCCGTGTTGATCAATGTAGCCCTGGTTCACCCCTTTTCATGCGTGGGTAAGGTCCCAAAACAGATTCTCTAATCTGTTCATTCTCCTGTGTGGGCTGATCGGTGAGGTCATCTCCATCCTTTTTGGTAAGACACAAAATGCTGCCCAGAACGTTCCTTTCCATGTGTTCTTCCCAGTTCACTAGGGTTTCACTTCAGTGCTGACTGACAGGGACATGGGAACAGTGGTGTCACAGGCAGGACAGTGCCCCCAAGACATCAAGTCTTCACCCCTGGAACCTGCAAATGCTCCCTTCCTCGGAAAAAGGGTCTTGGCAGATATGAGTAAGTTAAGGGTCTCGAGATGAGGACACTTTCCTGGATTATGTAGGTAGATCCTAAATGCAGTCACGTATGTCCTAAGTGGGAACTGGGGGACGACTCCACACACACACAGAGAAGGCAGTGTGCAGATGGAGGCAGAGGTTGAAGTGACGTGGCCACAATCCAAGGAAGGCTGGCAGCCACCAGAAGCTGGCAGAGCCCTGCTGACTCCCTGACGTGGCCCAGCGACCCTGATCTCACACCTCTGGCCTCCAGAAGTGTGAGATGATAATCGTGTGGCTCTAGGCCACCCCGAGCGCAATGACTTGTTCCAGCAGCCACAGGAAACAGAAGTGGTTCGGACAAGACAGATGCTGGTGTGTCTTACACATCAGAGCCCAAGCCTGGACAGCCCAGGGCCGCTGTGCTGTCTCCGCAGCCCGGATTCACGCTGACCCAGCTCTCTGGTCTCCCATCCCCAGGGTGCGTCTCTGCCTTCAGGCTCCCAGAAGGCACTCCTGCACCACATCTCATTTCTAAGTAACAGAGAAGGGACAAAGGACATCCACGAGCTGTCTTTTGAGAAAACATTCTAGAAACTCTTATTGCTTAGCAAAGTGTCTGGTACTCAGTAAGTGCCCAAAGGCTGTTTAAAAAAAAAAAGAGGTTAAAAAACAAGCTAAAATGGGCATGAGGGAGCTTCTCGGAATGTTCTCTGATTGGTTCATAGTGGTGGGTGCACAACCTGTAAATTTACTAAAATATCGTTGAACTGTACACATAAAAACAGATGAATTTAACAGTAAGTACATTATATCTCAATAAAGCTGTTAAAAAAAAAAGTCTAACCTACTTGAATGGCTAAGATGGAAAAGATGGAAAATGCCCAGTGCAAAGGGGAGGGTGTAGCTCAGTGGTAGCGCAGAATGCTTAACATGCATGGGGTCCTCGGTTCGATCCCCAGCACCTCCGTCAAAAAAAGAAAAAGGAAAAAAAAAAAAGAAAATCCCCAGTGCAGCTGGAACTGAGGGGGAGCGTAAATCAATTGTGTAGGAAAGGGCGTGGCGGTGGTACCTGCTAATGCTAAAAGTTTTATACAATCTCCGGCCCACAACCTCACTCGTGGGTGTCCTCGGAACCCGTGAAAGGCTGCCAGCGGCCCTGCGCAGAACGGCCCAGGCCGGAAATCGCCCAGGTGCCCAGCAAACCCGCGCAGGCCAGCGGCGCCCCGAGGACGGGCTGTGTCCCGCGGAAGCACGGCCGACAC